GTCTCTCTGTATTTGTTTGTTCACTATGAGTCAACTAATAAAACTAACTGATTTGTATATTTATAAAAAAAGAAACATATTGAGTCTTTATGTACTTATCCTCTATGAGTTCAATGCTTAAGCTTTAACGATAAATCTACTAAATTTTTTTGTTTTGTTTTTGTTTATGTAAGTTACCGATGAGATTATCCCGGCAAGGTTATCTAAGAGAGGTCGTAATGCGATATTCAACGGTTTTATTATGTGGTGTTGTTCTGATTCAGCTGTTTTCTGCTCAAATCGATGCTCAAAGATCAAGAAGTCGATGGCAGACGCTTAGTGGTGAGAGTTACTCTATGATGGTTTCCAAGAAAGCTTTGATTTCTTTATCTTGGATTTAGTATTACTTAAGTAACTTTCTTTCTTTCTTTATTTGTGATAACAACTTCACAGCGTATATACTTTTTGTAGTACAATAACTTTGGATTACTATGTATTTACTAGGTGACCCTCCACTTGTGATTGCTCGTGGTGGGTTTTCTGGATTGTTACCAGATTCGAGTATTGATGCTTACGGTTTCGCGATCCAGACAAGTGTAGATGATGTTGTTCTATGGTGTGATGTTCAGCTTACCAAAGATGGTGTTGGGATTTGCTTCCCTGATTTAAATCTGGCCAATGCTTCAACTATAGATCTTGTTTACCCAAATCACAAACCTAAATCTTACCCGGTTAATGGAGTCACTAGGCAGGGTTGGTTCACCATTGATTTCTCCCTGGGAGATCTCCAGAATGTTTCTTGTAAGTGTTTAATAACAAACAATTAAGTTTTGTTTTTTTTCTTGTAACTCTCACAAATATATGTTTGTTTTCTTTTCTTATTACCTTAGTGATTCGAGGAATACTCTCGCGATCGGATAGATTCGATGGAAATGGATACGCCATTTCAACGATTCAAAACGTTGCCGAGAAGATTAGTCCTCAAGGAGGCTTTTGGTTAAATGTTCAGCACGATGCGTTCTACGAGCAACAAAATCTGAGCATAAGCAGTTTTCTTCTTTCAGTTTCAAGAACTGTTTCCATTGACTTCATCTCTTCTCCTGAAGTGAATTTCTTTATGAAAATTGTTGGCCAGTTCGGGCGTAATGGACCGACTTCTGTGTTTCGGTTTCTTAGGAAAGAAGATTTCGAGCAAACAACAAACCAAACCTACAGTTCTATCTTGAGTAACTTAACTTTTGTCAAGACGTTTGCTTCAGGGATTCTTGTTCCCAAATCTTATATATTACCACTCGATGACAAGCAGTACTTGCTTCCTCATACATCCTTAGTTCAAGATGCACACAAAGCAGGATTACAAGTATATGTGTCAGGTTTCGCAAATGATGTTGATATCGCACATAACTATAGTTTCGATCCAGTCTCAGAGTATCTATCTTTTGTGGACAATGGCGATTTCTCTGTCGATGGCATGCTCTCTGATTTTCCCTTAACTGCATCTTCATCCATTGGTAAGCAAGATCTCTTCTACAAACAATATTTTGTCCTTCAAAATTTGCTAGAAATACTCAAAATTCAAACCTTTCCTTTTCATATTTTCCTCAGATTGCTTCTCCCATATTGGCAGAAACGCTACAAAACACGGTAAGGAGCAGTAAAATATACTCCACATTTTTCTGGCTTACTAATATACAAGTTGGATAGATTGAAATTAAAGTGACGTACATTTGCCAACAATGCTTTTTTAATTGTCAACTAACATGTTTTTTTTTTTTTTTTTTTATGTTGACATATTATAGTGGTTTTATCAAATTACTTGTTAAATTTGGTAAGAAGTGGACGTTAATTTTTTTCACAAGGTATCCTAACAAAATTAAGGGGGGTGTATTCAAAGTAGCATTTTAAAAGATTTGAGTTTTATTGAGATTTTGATGATTTTAGGGAACTTCATATGATTTATGTAAAATCCTTTCAAATCCCACCTAAAACTATGAGATTTGGATTCTTATATTTTTAACTAAGGAAGTTCTCTGAAATCCACTAAAATCCTCTGAAATCATTTAAAATCAAATCCACAAACTGTTTTCAATAACAGTGGATTTTAAGGTGGATTTTAAAATGATTAGTTCAATAACACTGAATTTCATGAGACTTTTTAAAATTCATGATTGAATAACACTGGATTTGTAAACTTTTTACAAATCACTTGAAATTCCACTTTGGATACACCCCCCTAAATTCTTAACTGGAAATCTTATATCCTAAATTATATTTTAGGGGGAGTTATTGGGAGATTGATTTTAAAAGAGTTTGTGGATTTCAAAAGTTTAGAGATTTTAAGATTCTTAAAAAGATTTGTTGATTCTAAAATAATGTTTACCCAGATTTTTAGAGTTTAATAGATTCTTCATATGATAGACTCTACAAATCCTTATGATAATTGCAGTATTTTGAAAGTTGTTTTTAATGACTAAATAGGTAAGGAATCATTAAACCAATAACACTAGAATTTGATAGAATTGGAAAATCAATAAATACTCAACTTTTTGAATAACAAAGGATTCTAAATAGAATTACAAAATACATACACCAATAACAAGAGATTTTATTAAGAATCTAAGAATCCGTACACCAATAACAATAGAATCTTAAACTCTAAAATCTTTAAAAGTCATTCTCCCAATAACACCCCCTAATTATAAAAAATACTACCGTGCTATTTATCTTTTGGTCACCAATACTATCATACTGTATAAGCTAAACGGTAAACATCCTCCAAATTTAATAAGAGAGAATTCATAGCCATTTTCAGGTTTTTCTTGTTTCTTTTTTAATGCAAAAACATATTATATATATACCTATAGTTGACTTTATCATCTTCCAAATTTATACCTTAGTTGATTTTCTTGTCATATCAAAAAATGGTGCGAGTGGGGACTATCCTGGATGTACAAACTTGGCATATGAGAAGGCAATCAAAGATGGTGCCGATGTTATTGATTGCTCCGTCCAAATGTCCAACGATGGGACACCCTTTTGTGCAAGTTCTATCGATCTTGGGGATAGCACAATGGTCGCACAAACTCCTTTCAGAAACCGTCAAACAACTGTTTCTGAGATTAGCTCAGATGGTGGAATATACACTTTTAGTCTAACCTGGCCTGAGATCCAGAACTTGACTCGTAAGTTTCCCTTCAAATTTTCCACTTCCTTCAGACAAATGCTAGTTTGTGTTTTTCCATTATTGTTCCTGCTCCTTACTTAAACCTAAAGATTACATATAGATGCAAATGTACATTCTCCTTGCTTGATACGCTGTGGACAACATTTACTGGCCACTTTTTTTTTTTTTTTTGAATAATCAAAGAGGTTCTGGGCCGAATCCCATGTATCCCCTCAGGCCCGAGACCGAAGCATGTTATATAACTTGGAAGTTTACAGTAACATTATCCCCATATTTTTGTGCAGCTGCTATTTCAAACCCCTACAGGTCATACGATATGCTTAGGAATCCGAATGAGAGAAATTCTGGGAATCTTATTTTGCTTTCTCAATTCCTAGACTTGGCAAAGAACTCCACATCTCTCTCTAGTGTTTTGATCAGTGTTGAGGTGGGCTTCCTGTACCTTTTCAATCATAAAAACATGAATCATTCACACTGTCAAGTCTTCTAATGATGGCTAAGCCACTATGTTTTTTGTTTCCTCCAGAATGTAGTGTACCTGAGAGAGAAGCTAGGGCTAGACCTTATTAAAGCTGTTCTGGACACTCTCACAGAAACTGGTTACAGCAACGTAAATACCACAACAAAGGTTATGATTCAGTCTACTAACAGCTCGGTTCTACTTGACTTCAAGAAGCAAAGCAAGTACGTGACAGTCTACAGAATTGAAGAAACCATTAGTGATATTCTTGACTCGGCTATACAAGACATAAAGAAATTTGCCGATGCTGTTGTCATTGGAAAATCATCAGTCTCCACCGCCACCAGAAGCTTTGCCACCAGGCAAACCAATGTTGTTGAGAGGTTGCAAAAGTCTCAACTTCTGGTTTACGTGGAAATATTTCAGAATGAGTTTGTCTCTCAAAAAAGGGACTTCTTTTCAGATCCCACTGTTGAGATTAACACATATACCTATGGAGTTGGTATCAATGGAACCATTACAGAGTTCCCTTTCACAGCTGCAAGATACAAAAGTAAGTGCCTTAAGCCTTAAGATTTACACCAAAAGGTCACACACCACAGAGTTATAAACATCAATACTTAACTTTGTTTATCTTCTCCAGGGAATAGATGTTTGGGTAGAGAAGAAATACCACAATACATGTTACCTATTCAACCCGGTAGCCTTTTAGGTGTTGTGAGTCCTTTGTCCTTACCTCCAGCCGAAGCTCCAAGCCTGATTTTCACAGATGCTGATGTCACTGAGCCACACCTACCTCCGGTTTCAGCAAAATCCCCAACCTCATCAACCAATACAGGAGCACCTATCGGACAAACCCGACTCCCTCTATCTATTTTTCTCTCTGGTTTTGCCTCTCTTCTACTTACGTAATCGTCCTTGACTACTTGCCATATACAATTTCTCCTTTTTATGTTATTTTGACTTGTAGTCCACAGGATGAATATTTTGCCGTTCTCTTTCCAAGCAGTATGTATGTTATGTCAATTTTAAAAACTAATTTTGGTACATGCGAAATGTTGTCTTAAATAAAAATTTCTGTTGAAGTTTTTCTAGCAAAATAGTCATCTACGAATTTTTAAATAATTGATCTATTTACTTTACACATTTTCCACATCTCATTTTATTTCTCTTTCATCATATAAATTTAAAAAATATATATATAATTTTATAATAAATTTTACTATTACATAATTGATACATCTACATTCTTCTATACAAAACGATCAAACTACTTTATAAAAACTAAATTATCATCTTGGATAAGAACTAGAATATCTTACATACATGATACATGATTGCGTAATTACAAATTTTTTTTATAAACATACTAAAAATGATGTAACCAAAAAAGTCCTAGATTCAACAATTTTGAGCTTCATCAACTGTCCTAAAGGCTCTGGCTAGGAGGGTCGCGATAACAGTGCACGACATGAGTCCATATATAAAGAAGGTTGAAAGACTACACAGCCACTATGAATCTCTTTTCCTTCTTCCTTTATACATCTTTTTTCTCGATGACTATAATAATACTTTCATTATTGCTCATCCAAACTCTAAAATTATTATTATACTTCCAACCTACTGTTTTCATCTTTGGTCTCATAACTAGCTCCCTTTTTCGTATTATAAAATGACGATTAGATCATCCAAAAGAATTATCTAATGTGAATATTAGTTCTTAAAATTATCGAATTAATGACTTTTCAAGATGCCAACCTTTTTTTTGGTCCCGTATAATTCTCCTTTGGAATTGTCTCTTTGAAAGTGAGGATGAAGACAATAAGCACAGAGGAGATAAGAAATAGTATGGTATAGGTTTACGGACAAATCCTTGTCGTTCCACTAAAAGTTTGGCCATCTCATTTCGTTTTCTAGACTAAGCAAAAAAACTTATCTAAGTCTTTCAGAGTCAACTAATAAAACCATTTTAATCAAAAAAAAAATATCATGACTTTTTCTGTGTGTTATTCACTATTTCACATTGACTTGGCCATTATGCTTCTCTCTATGCCAAATACAGAATACAGGCTGTTCATAGATCTCAAACGAACCATGGACTATCCCATCAGTTCTTGTTTAATCTCTCTCTTCCTCTTCTGCTTATTCTACCATCTTCCTTGTGCTTCAAGTAAACAAGGACTTGGATTGTGTGAGACTCTATTTCAGTGTGGTAACATCACCGCAGGTTTCCCCTTCTGGGGAGGAATTCGACCCAAATTTTGCGGTCACGCATCGTTGGAGCTTCACTGCAACATCAAAAACATTACCTCTTTAAATATCTCCAACCTAAACTACAATATCCTCCAAATAAATCAAACATCTAATACCCTTAGACTTGTCAGAGCAGACCTTTTAGGTTCTTTCTGCTCCACCACTTTCAATTCCACAATATTGCCTCTCGAAATCTCTGAGATTTTGCCCATCTACAAGAGCCTCACTATTTTCTATCTCTGCAACCCTCGTCTTCAGTACCTTTCGAGTTATACATGTCCTGGCAGTGGGAGAGGTCTTGTCTCAGCGTATCAAAGCCCTAATTATCATAGCTCCTGCCTAGGAAGTTTCATAGTTAACGTTCCTACAGGTTTCTTTCCACAAGAGAAAAAGTTGAATCTAACGTTCTTGGAAAGCGTTCTAAGAAAAGGATTTGAGGTGAAGGTGAAGAATGATGAAATACTATGTGAAGAATGTTCATCCTCTAGTAAGTGTATACATTTTCTCTTCGTTATATCATTATTACTATTATTATTTTCTAATTTATTTCGCTCCTCCTCTAACAAACACCGGACAGTTTCCTTAGTGAGTTGTCTTACCTTGTTCAAAGTGACCAAACATAGCTTCATCTCTTACCAAACATACCAAAACTAGGGTAGGCATTGGGTACCTGTTTGGCTTTGGGTCGGGTATTTCGGTTTTCGGATTTCCGGGTTTAGAGATTTACAACCCGTTCGGGTTTTCTAGATTTCGGGTTCCGGTTTGGGTTGGGTTTTTGCAAGCAGGTTCGGATCGGTTTCTCGGGCTCGGTTACTTTGGCCAGGCCATTTTCCCATTAACTGACCAGTAAAGTAACAAAAAAAAAAAACAGATTAGGACACTATGATCAATTTCCTTATATTCCTTACCATATAAGTTCCCAACTTCCTATACGCTTTCTGATCCCATCTTGTGTTTTTATCAGCTGATGAGCTTTATAGACGCTGTGCTCAACCGTTTAGCTGTGGCGATCAAGGCGGTCTCTTGTTCCCTTTCTGGATACATGGGAGAGAAGACTGTGGCCACCCAGACTTTAAGCTCCATTGTAACAGCAGATTGGCAGAACTTAACGTCTCCTTAGGGACGTTCAGAATCTTAGATACAGATTATGACTCTCGTATTGTAAGACTTGCCAGATCAAACTTTACCAACATTATCTGTCCCACAACCCCACTACATATGCCGTTCGATAAAAGTGCCGTCCTTCCATTCGCTTCTGACACCATGATGCTAACAATTTATTACCACTGCCGAGACTTATCATCTAGTATTGATGGTACTTCCGCTAACGTTGAAGGTCTTGTGTGTGGGAATTATGATGAAGATTCAACCAACTACTATGAGATGAGAAATATAACAGACGAGAATAGTGGCGCTGTATCTACTAACTTGAAGGAATCTTGCAATTCATACGTCAGTATACCTGTGCCTGGATCGGCATTGTATACACTGCGTTCCGAGAATATAACGAAGACTCTTGAACAGGGTTTTGAGCTTGAACTTAATCAAGATTGTTCAGTGTGCTTAGAGTCTAAAGGTGCTTGTGGATACAATCGGACTTCAAGAGGATTCGTTTGCTATTGTAAAGATGGAACCTTCGGCATTGATTGTAGCTCTAAAAAGAAAATTCACGGTAAACTATTCTCTTCTCTGAATTTGTTGTTCTTTAATATTCTTTTTCTTTAAAATCGAGTTTGGTACCATTCTGACAAATTCTTATTTGTATAATTGTCACTTAGGGGCTTTAGTCAAAGCAATTCCCATAGGTGAGTTTTTCTGGCCAGAGAAATTTTAAACCGTTTTCGTTTCCAACATTAGATAATAAGTTCCTAACTCAGCATTTCTCTGTGTTTTTTCTAGTTGGGGGTGCAGTAGCAGGAGTTGTTTTGTTCCTGGTACTATTAACATTGTTTCTCCGTTTTCTCCGGAAGAGAGAAAAACGGCTGAGACATCAGAAGCTGAAGGCTCTTATTCCACTCGAACACTATACTTACACACAAGTGAAGAGAATTACAAAGTCATTTGCGGAAGTGGTTGGGACAGGCGGATTTGGAATTGTTTATCGAGGAACACTTCGTGATGGCCGTATGGTTGCGGTGAAGGTCTTGAAAGACTCAAAGGGAAATGGTGAAGATTTCATCAATGAAGTTGCTAGCATGAGCAGAACTTCTCATCACAACATTGTTTCTTTGCTTGGTTTCTGCTCGGAGGGTTCTAAAAGAGCAATTATATACGAGTTTTTGGGAAACGGGTCACTTGATAAGTTCATTTCAGGAAAGAGTACAGTGGAAATGGATTGGGAATCTCTATATAGAATTGCGTTAGGAGTTGCTCGTGGTCTAGAGTACTTGCACCATGGATGCAAGACAAGGATTGTACATTTTGACATCAAACCACAAAATGTACTCTTAGATGACAATTTTTGCCCCAAAGTTTCGGACTTTGGCCTCGCTAAGCTATGCGAGAAACAAGAGAGCATCTTGTCATTGCTGGACACAAGAGGTACCGTAGGGTACATTGCACCAGAGATGATCTCAAGAGTTTATGGGAATGTATCGCACAAATCAGATGTCTATAGCTACGGAATGTTGGTTCTCGATATGATTGGTGCAAGGAACAAAGAAAATTTTAATCAAGCCGCTTCTTCTAACACAAGTTCGATGTACTTTCCTGAATGGGTATATAAGGATCTTGAGTTAGGCAAGTCCAAAACCAATATTGAGATTGGGGTCAACAGCGAAGAGGACGAGCTAGCAAAGAAGATGACATTGGTGGGGTTGTGGTGTATTCAGCCTTCCCCAACAGATCGCCCACCGATGAATAGAGTTGTAGAGATGATGGAAGGAAGTTTGGATGCTCTTGAAGTCCCTCCTAGGCCAGTTTTTCAAATTCCCACAGTGTCTCTACAAGAATCTTCAACATTCTCAGAAGATACCTCTACTTACACAGAAGGATGATCCATGGAACCTATCAAAGCACGCAAATCGCAAATGTTATATATTATTTACATTCTAGAGGACGGCTCTGTAAAACTAGTTTACATTACTATGCTAAACTATTTAGCCTTTTGTTTTACTAATTTAATTTCACTCGGCTTAATTCTTGTAAAAAGCTAGATAATACAGTTTTCTATTGCGATAAAACGTTTGAAGCATTTCACTCAAACATGAGATCAAGACTTTTGAGTTTCATCAACTAATAAACTACTACTTCATTTTCGTTGCTGTTTGCAAAAACTTCCTGTCTCATTTTTCTGAAGATACTAATAAAGAACAATGTCTGTCTCAGTTATTACAGTAGAAAAAACCATTTACGGGTTTAGAGCAATGGAAGCATGAACGAAAAACATTCATCCGAATATGCGTTAGGTTATTAATGCTTGCTCAAACTTCTATTGGAGATATCTTGGGGAGCAAGATGTGTATTTTGCAGACCAACTATTAAGGACAGTGAAAGTCCATTATTGAAATGAACCCGTGAACCCCAAGGCAAAGAATATTCTAGAAGTGTGATAAGGACTTCTAGAAGTTTGAAGTCTTTGC